GCTATCTAGCTTACTAGAATGCAGTGGCGTAACTATCACCAGTGCAGCCGGTGAAACGCACCGGGGCCCAGAGCCGGCCAGGGGCCCTTGCAAAAACAAAAAAAAGAAGAATGTTTTTTTTATATATAAATGGCATTGACCGGACCAAGCAGTCTTCAAAGTAACCAAGCAACCTAAAATAATTTGTAATTTGTCTGTCCAATGACCTTGCTCCCTTTCATGTCATGTGATACCTTGCGTGACGAGCGAACCGTTTAATCAACCTGAACTTAACTGTAGCTAGCAGCAGCAAGCTCGGTAGCATTATAAAAATGTAATAGCTTGCATTTATAATGTACAGCAAACCAAAGCACAAGAGCAGCGCTCAAAAGAGAAAGGACAAGAGAGAACAAGGAGATGTAACAGCTAAACTGACAAAATTAGACAGTTTTTCGAAATCGAGCGCTATCGAGGTCTATGTAGGCCTACTGGCCCATTCCCCAGAGACAAACATCAAGGAAACAGGTTTAATCCTCTTCTTAGTTTGCTGTGCTGTTGTCAGGCTGTGGTGATCTGAGGCCAGGGCAGGCTGTTGTTGATAGCCTATAAATGTGGCGCTTCTGAGTGGTTGTGTATGTCCGTGCGTGTGTGAGCGCATCAGCGTGCGCTTATGTTTGGGGCGATGGCAATACATCGTATTGTATCGTACCGTCAATGACTAATAGTTGTCCCTGATACATTAAATACATTTTCTTTTTAAAATCTGCCTTAGTTTAATGGTTTGTATGGTTCTTATGTATGAATAATGTAAGTGTGTCACAGGCTCAAACCTCAACACCTGATTATATTTGTTTTTGTCCTTTTTATATTTGTTTTTTTACATTACGTCATGTCTGCAATGCCCTCTCTGTACATTGGGGCTGTTTTTTTTCATTTGGAATAAAAAAAAAAGCTATAATGTTTATTATCTGACTTTGACTTGGCATTTTCACCCTCAGAGCATCAGTAACTACTACTGAACATATTCAATGATTTTAAGAGAAAAAAGCATGTTTTTACAAGCGACCACCGGCACTACCATTAGCATCTGTTCAGTTGATAAGAGTCGGACCCCCGGTGGACACAAGGCCCCAGTCATCTGCCAAATGTATCCTCAAAGTGGGTCATGGAAATGAAAGGGGAGCAATCCACAATCATGGGCTCACAAATGTTCTCTTGGGCAGTGGCTGGGGAGGATAAAGGTTGCAGGTCCAAATTAAAGGTGCCTCGATGAGAGTTATTGTGTAGAAGAATCAACGCCGCTCTCTCCTTCCTTCATCAGGCCTCAGCATCACATGCTGTGGCGAGTCTGTGCTCAGGTCTAAAGATGGAACCTTATATGGCAGTGAGCGAGTCAGAGAGAGTTATGCTGGTTCTGTGAGCTCTGAGAGCTCCAGCAGCAGGAATACCACCGGTCACAGCTAGCGTATGTTCAGCCGGATCAATGACAACATTATGAAAATGTGATGGGTGCGTAAGGCTAATGGCCGCGAGTGGAGACGGCTCTGGTGATGACTGAGCGGAGTCTTCTACTGTGGATATTCACCGAAGTTAGCGTTTATAAACCCAAAACTTCAAACAGCACATGTGCCAGCAGATCTGATGGAAAAATCGGGCAGGAATTAAGAACACCTGCCAAGAGTACAGGTTCAAGAGTACAGGTTTCCCTGTCGTTTTTTTGGCGATAAGTAATGCTAATATATATCTGTCTCTCTGCTCAGTATTTATACATTAACCCTGTAAACCGCCATGTTTACTTGTGTCTTAAAGGCACATGACCGTGCCCGACAGCAGGAACAAACAAGAAACATCCTGTTATGGAGATAAAGAGCTAAGCTGTTGTAGCCACCTTATCCTGTACATTTCCAGAAGACTAGACATTCGAGGTGAATAAAAGACGGATTTAATACAGCATCACATTCGGTCTTTGCTAACAGTATGTTTTTTACATACTGTATAGAGAAAGTAATTTCCATCACAAGTGCTCACTGAAGACGCTTATGAAAACGTATCACCCATGTTAGTGGCACTAAACAGGGTCTAAGATTGCTGTAACCTTGTTGCTATGTTTCAGTGGAGTATGACATTTAAAAATGTCTATTCAATGTCTGTGGGTAAAGATGTTAAAAGCCTTCAGGTAAGTGGGAGCGAAGAAAGAGGGTGAAAGTCTATCGAGTCTGATTGCTGTTATTGTCGTCCGCTGAAAGGGTTAATCTCAGCATGTCGCTTTCTTTCCACACAAAGACTGTGTTCCCATCATCCTAAGGCTCTCAGCAAGGTGCACACACAGCATATGAGTCTGGCTGCTGAAGGAAATTAGTGCAGGGGCTTCTGGGAAAGAGAGGAGGGTCCAACAGGTTGGAGCTATAGCTGGTGGGGCTTGTTTGATGATCAACATCATCAAGTGGCCCAATTAACCACATTTTTATCAGGGTTAAATATCTCTGACACTGTAATATTTTACAAAATCTGTGCTGGTTTAAAAAAAATCTTGACTTGTATTACATCCCCAGAAAGAGAATGTGACCACAGCAGAGAGTGGAGCAGGCTGGCCAACCTCAGGTCCGGCTCTTTGTGGTCTCCTTTTTCCTTTTCTCATAAAAAGGCTCCAAGCTCAACAATAGCTTGCAGATGTGTAACTTAACAGTTACTTGAGGTAAATTTTATTTGCACACTGTAAATACTGTACGTCTGGACACATATTTGCATTCTCTGCATAATTTTGCCATAATGGTGTTATATAGAAATCAGGATTCTACATAGTAAGAAATGTGACTTTTTCTTGCCCCTCCCAATGGTCAATTGTCAGACGAGGCAGTGCTGACCAAATAAGACAATTCTGTTTCTGCATTGATTATCTCGTGCAAGTTTAACTGTGAAATGCTCTGGCTGATGGCCGTTACTTGGCTTTGACTTGATTGTTCAAACACGCCACGCAATTTAGATCCGGGCACGTAGGAATCTTGCAAATATGAATAGGATCTTTCGGGGCAGGCAGAGAAACTGGTTATTTTTCCCCACAGATGATCTTTCTCATGCTCTAATGTCAGGATATACTGAGAGTTTCAGCATCTAGGACAAAAATAAATTTTTGTTTCCAACCTCAGCACTAGGCCAATTTCCCCACCTTAGAAACCTCTATCAACACAGAACATGTTATTTAATTAAATACAGAATTCAACTTTTTTTTTTTTTTATATTTCTAGATTTTTAATTATTAAATAACATATATTTTAAGTAGGCCAAATGTATGTTAAATGCACCACCATACCTGCTCCACCCGGATCTCATACTCTCCGTTCAGCTTCTTCCCTCGAAAATACTTGGACCTGCAAAGAAACAGAAGACAAACTATCAAGGAACCGACAAAAAGAGGGTGTTTTATATACAGTGAAATCCTTATACTTCATTCATAATTTGCAGATATTAAAACTAAACAATGGAAAACAATCAAATTGTATTAATGTGTAAATTATTTACTGCAAGGATTAGTTTTTGGTTCCTTTGTAAGGTGATTTGTGTTCTTCAACATGGATCCCCCCCCCCCTGCAACAGCACAGGGTACAGTGTGTGCTCCAAATGCTCCTTATAGTCAAAACAACCTTAAAATAACCTTTGTTTATTTGATCGAAGGAGAGCTGAAATCTCAACAGACCTTCTAAATACCCTCAGAGTAGGCAAAAATAATGACTCATATTTTCCTCAATTATAGAATGTGACCTGCGGGGCTTCCAGTAAACAGAATATCTTGGCAAAGAGGAACTTGGGGAATAAAGTGCATTAAAAAGAGAAATAAATAAAGAGAAAACATGGTTTCAAGGACAGTCCCTGTGTGTGAAGTTTCTTCTCCTGTTATCACAGAAACACATCGTCCATGGTAGATGTAGGTGCCATAACGCTACAGTACTTAGCCCAAGTTCATTATTTGTATTATTATTATTTGTTTACGTCACTTTTATTTGTTTGTTGAGCACTTCCGGTAATTGTCACATGGGTGTGGTTTGGTTATATAAGTCACCTGTTTGATGTCGAGTGCGGATGACATTTTTTCTGTTGACCGTTTTGTCCATAGTTACTATGTTATGATTTTGTTTATTAAATATCCTAAAACTATCTTGCTTCACTATGGACTTTCTCTTCGAAAACGCGTCACAGTTTATATAGCCAAGTTTAGCCTCTCGGCGACTCAAACGTAACTGGAAATTGAGCCGCCACAGTAGTTGCAATGAGCTTTCACATTATTCTAAAGGAGCGATATGAGGAAGTAATGTTGGAACCATCAAGCTCTGAGGCACTTCTTTGTCGTTTTCAACCTGTGAACCTCCAACTGAAAGGGTTATCTCTCTCTCTCTCATCAGATTCGCAGTACTGAGATTGACTTCTGCTGATTCAAAGCTGGACTTTGTGTAGAGAACAACCACAGTAAAAAGTTGACATGTTGCATTTTTACATTTGGTTTATTTGAAAACAGATGGAAAATTAACTTGTTTATTGGCTTGTCATCCCTACAGGTTTGGTTCAAAACCATGGCTGTTTAAAAATAACTAGATACACCGTTGGAGGCGGGGCTTGTTAATTCCTGGCACATGAAACCAAAACGGGCTGACGCAAGTACAGAAATACTCAGATCATCCAGGGATCTGGGCCACGTCCCCAGAAAGTGCATCAGGCTAAACTTTGGTAGTAGCCAAACGGTGGTACTAAAAATAGCGTGTCAGCAAGCGCATTTGCGCCACTTTAAGCCCCGCCTATAATTTATTATATCGCAGCAGCATCACGGCAGAGGCCTGTACTACGAAGCAGGATTTGGGATTAGCGAGGTAACTTCAGGGTTAACGGTCCTACGACGCTGGTTCACGTAAGTTCACGTAAGTTCACGTAAGTTCACGTAAGTTCACTTCTCACTTCTCCATATCTCTAAAAAAACATGTTCAAAAGTGTAATTGTTTATAGCCATGTTGTGTCCAAGTGCTCTGTGGGTCTCAGCGTTGAACCCTCACCCCTTGAGGACATGGTTGCAGGTTGCTGAGGTTCTGGGCGACATGCTGGAGGCCTTCAATAACTGCGACAGGCTGTTTGGGATGAATGGTGCGTTCCAGTTGTACTGGGAAGTGGGAGTACCTGTTTCCAGTTCCAACTGGAGCACCCCCTGATGTCGGTATTCCTACCTAGCACGATGACCGAGATCATCCAAGATCATCAACCGGTATTGCAAACAACGGCTAACCTGAGGTAAATGCTAGAGCTGTCAACAAGGCCAACAACATTGCTGTGGGCGTCCCTCTTTTCCGAATTGTTCTACTGGAACTGGTCGACTCGGATGTGAGGTCGCTCCCAGTTCCGACCTCCAACTTCCGATGTAACACAGCATTAAGGCTCATCTCAACCTACTCAGACCAGAACACCCAGCAGAGCCTCCTCCCTTGTCTCCCCCATGTCTGCCTCTTTGTTTCTCATCTCCCTGTATCAGTTCTTTACGTCTGTTCATTATTGCTCATTACTGCCGCTGAGAGGGATCTACTTCTTAACGTCTCCCAGCTGGTCTGGGCCTCTAACTGTCTCATTCTCTGTAATTTTGGAAGCCATGAATCTTCAGCTTGACTGACCTACATACTACACAATGTACCCTGTCACCCTGGCCCACCACCACCATGAGGCAGGACCCTCAGACTCACCCGCTAAAAATGATTGGTATGCGTTTCAAGTAATTGCAACAAATGTTGTCACTTCAAGTAATCAATTTAATTTACAGACGGCTTTCTGGTTTTACATGTGTCCAGATGTAAACACTGCACTCCGTAGAGAGGTCTGAGCCTTCCTTCTCCCAGCCCTGCACACACCCACTATAAACACCATGGAATTGAATTCCATTTCCCCCCCATGAGATTAGGTTCTTTTGTGTACCACTAATAGGAAGCGTATGAGTCATGTACAGTAAACGGAAAACCAATTGGCCCTCAAGATGTATTTATTTTGTAAAACATTTGTTCCTGCTTCTATTTGTATCCACCTTCCTAAACTTGATGTGGTGCTAATACTGCCTTGTTTACAAAGGAGGTTTCCATGATGGACACATGTTTTTACATCATGCTTATATACCAAACTGTTGGTTTAGCTCATGTTTCTCCTATAAAAGAATTGTAAAACATTTGCCAATAGATGTCAGGAGACAAGTCTTGGATGCTTTGGTGCTATCACAGCTTGATTACTGTTTTGTTGTTTGGTCTAGTGCTTCAGAAAACGATTTAAATAAACTACAAGTAGCACAGAATAAGGCAGCACGATGTGTTCTGCAGTGCTCCTACAGAACCAGAGTGACTGAAATGCTGGAGACACTGAAATGGATGAGTGTTAGACAGAGGTCCATTTATTCTCTGTTAAATTTTGTAAAGAATATTACAGTGACACACTTACCACATATATTGTCACAAAAGTTCATAGCACAGTACTCTACACATAACTATCAAACCAGACATGCAATAGAAAAAAGGTTCATTTTACCCAAATCAAGATCAAATATCAGACAGAAAACAGTACTATACAGAGCAATGGTCAGCTGGAATTCGTTACCGGTCCATATCATTCAAGACAACTCAAACATACATTTCAAACATTTGCTAAAACAATATCTGAGAACTACAAATTAAATTTGAACTGTACTTGTGGGTCAATTAGTAATTAGTAATTAGTATTATCATGTAAATTATATTGTTGGTAAAGTACGCCCCGATACTGCTAGGCTCCTAACCTTGTTTCCTCTTCTCCCCTGGGTTTTTTGTCTTCGGGACTCCCTGGGGACATCAATTAACTGTTCGCCGAGCCTGAGCCTGGGAAAGGGTTCAGGGACATCCACGGCCAGAAACTCCATACCTCCACTCTCCCTTTCACGTCACCGGAACTTTGAGGTCAAGAACCTCTCACGTTTCCCTCCTAGACTACTAAGTGACCACAGCTTACGCTTGTCCAAGGTTTCCCTACACTGTCTCCCCTCTCCCGGCTCCCGACGGAAATCCGCACACGTCAAGAGTCATTGTTCCGTTCCTCACGAAAGAAGTACGACAAGTCGACAGTTGTTATAGATACCGTAAAGAATTCCCGGACTGTAACACCTTTTACATGGTAGATTACCGGTGAGTCGACTCAAGAAAATTAAGCTCCCGATTGTGATGAAAAAGTCGACGAATGGGTCTTCGGGAAAATTGAACAAAACCCGTGATGTGGCATAAGGTGTTACAGCATAAATTTGATAAATATATAGAGGAATACGTAACAAAATATTAGCACAATAAGGTAATACAAATAAATAACACAAGAAGAGACAGATATTAGTACACAATTACTAGTACGTTTTCGTGAACTTAACGGAGACGCAGACTTTACACCGCAATATATTATTTGCATCGGAATGAATGAATGGAATAGTCGTAAGAACTGTTTTTTTACAACTCCATTCTAAACGTCAAAACACTTTTACACCCTATCATATTATGATACCGAAATAATAACTGAAAGGTGACTTAGTCCACCTGTGATCCACTCGGTGGCTTAATCAAGTCGATAAATTTTTCAAAGGACAAGTCGTAAATTAGACTACAATGTACCCAAAGTCCCTTTACCACACAACTTTGTATGGGTTAAGGATCTTAAGAAACCAAAGAAAGTTAATTTTCACTATCTGGATAATAAAGGCCGGATAAATGATCAAAAAGTATTGTTCTAAGTCGGCCCTTGCGCCGCCGAACATACAATATTCGCGGTGTAGTAATCTCAAAGGTCAAATAACTATATCCAGTCTTCCCCGGACGAATGGTGGTTTCATGGTTTTCCAAATTCCGTTCCATGCCATCTAGTTTTCCAAATGAAAGCTGAAGTTTACTGTCAAATGGGAATGTCAAACCGGGTAGACTATCAAAATCCTACAAGTCGCTATAGTGACTAATTACAGATAATTGTCCGACTTATAACTTTTTCAACGGACCTTAATCGTCCTTCGGTAACACGTCGCAGACACCACCAATAAGGACCACCTTTACGAATTTATATCCCTACGTCGGCTTATAAGCCGGTTGGCTTTTAATGAGCCGGCTTTTACCCAATTTTTCCCGGGAAAGGCCGGCTTTCCCCAAAATCGGTGGCCTTTTTTTATAGTGGCTTAACAGTCTTTGTCCCAATTCCAACAGTATGAGGCGATAACAGGCCCACCAAAACTAAAGTTCACCACCCTCATTTAGTGGCTTCAACCACTTTCAGAAACGGTCAATGTTGAGGAGCTCTTTAAAGCGACTTTTGGTGCAAAATGTTTAGCGTAGGCGCCGGAAGAAAGAGACCTATAAAACTTTATGAAGGTTCGTCCGTCCTGACAAACCGACACTCGGTCGGGCGCTCTGTTACCAGCGAGGCGGCACCGAACACGGCGCAAAAACTTAATGAGTAGTGTGTTGTGCAATCAATGGTTGAATATCCTACCGTAAACAACAACAAACCTTCCGGAAACCGACTTGTCAGAAATAAATGTGATAAAACAACACCGGAGACGGATCTACTAAGATACCGTGTAAGATTCGTGGAACCGAAAAAAGACCTTTACGTTGAAACAAAATAAGGATGTCTCTTTTCTTTACGTGAAAGGAACCCTTAATTACAATGACATACGTATGTTTTCACTGACCTTTATTTTACATAATGACCTTGGGTATTATTTCACCCTAATAAAAATTCAATTCAAAACGGTATTAGTACAGAAAAAGGTATTTAAGGTCCAATCCCGACTTGGGTAACCATTTTTTTTACAGAATAATAAAAAAAGACTACATATATATATTATATATAAAGAAATTAGGTAAAAGCGGAAAAAGCCCGTAAAGCCAAAAGGCCCGGTTACAAAGGATAAAAGCCATAGACAAGCCGGTTCTTTAAAGGGTAAGCCACGGTGGGGGATGATTTAGTTAATTTTTTGACAATCCTGTAGGTCCTTTACGTAAATAAGTAGTCCCTAAATGTGTTGTATCCGTGATAGGTTCGTAATAAATAAATCTTTAAATAAGGGCAATCCCGTTTAAAGATCCATTATAATCGTATCACCACGCATACTTTCATCATGTGGAAGAAACAATAAAGGAAAAAAGACCTTTTACCCCTTTTATCAATCACGGTTTTCAGATTAATTGGGACCCTTTCATCCGCCCTATCCTTGGTTACAAGTCCAGAGAGGCGGCAGTCGTATTATGTTGTGTTTATCACCTGGGTAGTTATTCGTAGTTTTATATTAGGTTGAGGGTCAGTTGCAAATCCCTTTCTGTAATAATGTCAATCTGCGAAAATAGGTTCGCTGAAATATGAGTTAATGACCCCTTAGGGGTGTGCTCGGTTAAACCGCCACTTCATAGAACGGTCCCTGTGTTGCTGTACCGACTTGACGACACCTCCAACTGGAACCTGGGGACTAGGCTTGTGGTACTGCGATTCCCGGGTGACATGGTGTGCGGAGGTATACGAATTGATTAGTTAAGTAGATACAAGATAAGAATCGGTCCCTGTCGGTATTTCTCCTGTTTTGTGTTTGGTGTTGAATTCTACTATTATTTCTACAAAGAGTCGCTTATTACATTACGATCTTTACCATTGCTCGAATATGTGAACGGTGGAAATGTCCCTAATTACGATTATTAATGTGCTGATCAGTCTAATACTAACTTTGTATGAGTACAATGACCTGGACACAGCGAAAGTATCAATCAAATCAAATCAAAAAATAATCCTAGGGTATACCGTGATCGTCTCGTAACGATAAGAAGGACCCCAGGAAGGTGGGTGTGTTTGTATGTATTATGTTGGTCCTTGTCTTGTGAGTAGTAAAAGTATTTTCACCGATACATTCCTTCACCTTTCGTTTTGGTTTTGTCTTTTTTTTATCAGTAGTTAAAATCGGTGTAGTTCAGTTTTG